CTGGTGACAAAAGTATCGACCTGAAAGAACATCCCTCCATTACAAACAAAATAAAAAAAATGAAATATGTTTGAATTATTTTCTGCACTTTAAAGAGTTATAAAACAAGGGTTAAATTAGTGCTTGCAGGGTTGTTTAAATTTTACTGTATCCATGAGAAATGAAGTATTGCCAAGTCCTCACAAGGGCTGATGTTTTCCAAAAGAATTATTACAAGACTGCTACAAATTCCATACAGTACACATAATCAAATGTTCTGTTTAACATTATAATTGCACTGAGCATTGCAGTGTGATGTTATAGTGATGTCATAGAACATGTGACTCCCCTGGTGTCTTCTGACAGAACCAACAAAGATCTCAAAGTGTGGAGGGCTGAAATAGCAAGTGGTGTATTTATCATGAGAGCAGGTGTGCTTCTGATTCAGAGACTGAAATGAGAAAAGGGCAGAAACAAGGAGAAAAGAAATCCTTGAGGGGATTTGGCAAAGGTGGCATCACTGATCTTGCAGTACTGAGGTCAGGAGCTTATCAGTGCCATTTGTAATGATTGAACGTTCGGTACTGCTCGGGGTTGAGTTAAAATTAAAGGGGTTTGCCTCTTGGTACAAGCAGCATTTTTGTTATCCCTCAAACAAGGTTTGAAGCAAAGAATTTACCCTTTGTCCCTCATTTTTTTCTGTAAGGAGAAGGAATCTCATGTAGGGTTGTGGTAAGAAACACAGAGCTGTGGATTAGGTGCAGCTTTGCCAGATTGCGTAAGATTGTGTAAGACAAGACTAGACCTGGCACCTTCCGAGGGTCTGAACCTGTCTGTCCCACTGGTGAGTGCCATGGGAAGGGGTTCCCTTCTCCTTAGGTAACACAATTCTTATTGAAGGCTTGTACCACCACTGATGACACTTTTTCAATTTATCTTGTCATTCAGTGAAATATCATTCTTCTCCTGATCCTATCTACCTAATTGCATTTTTAAAAAATGCTTTCTGGTTGAGCATTTGTATGACCTAATTTTTTTTCTTTATTGATAATCTTAAGAAGACTGCCAGGTGGGCCAATGGAACTTTGTTCCTTGAGCCATCCATGAATATTTTAGAAGAGTATTAAAACTTGCTCATAGCATGTTCGTTTTGCAATAAAATGATTATTAAAATTGTTAAAATTCTTGATAATTTATTTTAGCTGCTTATTTTTTCTGGCAGATCCTTAATAGGAAAGGAAAGGGAAAAAATGTGAAACAGAAAATGGCAAGTTAAAATTAACCAAATAATATTCCTGCCAAGTTTACGATAATAAAGTGTTACTATATAATGCTTTGCCTTATCAGTCATGCAGAAGAATTCCTCTGCACACAAAGCATCATTCAGTTTCTCCTTATTAGATCATCTTTATGAGGCAACCACAGTATTTGTTCTCTGGAGAGCTCCTGGTATTTGCAAAATTACTTTAAATGCGTTAAATATGAATATTTCGAATTAAACTCTTTTAAAATAGTCCTTTGAGGGACTGCTGCAAGATCAGCAATTAAAGACAAAATAAGGGTTAACCATAGCTATTCCACCTCCTCTTTGGCTGCTACCTGAGTTAGTTCCCAGAGTGATTCTTGGTCCCAGTTTTCCATTTAGACTGAAGTGCAACCAAGATGTGTCTGCGTCATGGATTCGTGAGGGGTGGGTGGTGAATTCTCCTCCTGTTTGGTATATCTGGGCTTTAAATTACAGCAGAGTTCGAGTCTTTCTAAGGGGGGGGGGGGGGTTTAGATGGATTAGAAAAGAAATTTAATATAAAAAAATAAAAAAAAAAAATTAAATTAAACCAACCAAACCAAACCCCCCCCAAAAAAAAAAAAAAAAAACAAAAAAAACCCCAGTTTCTGGGGAAAACAGAACAGATACTTCTTTCACTTCCCATTTACTGCTATGTTATTGAGAGATAACTTTGCTAGTTAGTTACTGATGCATCCCTGTTCCTAGGGAAGCAAATGTAGACCACTCCTTACAGGTCCCCCACAGAAAATTGTGCTGGATGGTTCATCCTCAGGTTTGTGACTCTCTTCATGTTGGCAACTGAGAGAGCTGATGCCCTGACAAAGGGACCTATCAGATAATCCGGCAGAGCTTTAACAGGGCAATTATTTTACATTTTTACTGGAAGAAAGGAATATGGCTGTCTAGCTGAAGTTCCTAGCAAGCTTCCTTTCATTTGTTATGCTAAGATTACAGAGAATAGGGGTGCATGACACTTCAGAAACCTTTTCTTGTTCCTTTGTTTCCTAAGTCTGTGTTTAAAGGCTTCCTTTAAGTAATTTTTAGTTCCTTTCCTTCCCAAGTCTATCCTTGTAGGCTATTCTTTCAGTGAAGGTAGTATTTAGAGAAAAGACTACAAGTTAAATATTTTTTTCAGAGGTTCAGGGTGAACAAATTTGTCCATACTAATTCTTTAGTGGCTCTTGAGCAATATTTTCATCTGAAACCTATCCTAGACATGTTGTGCAGCTAATCATTGCTGTGGATTTTTACTGTGGATAATACAAAGGCCCAACATGCTTAAAAATTTTAGCAATGAAGATTTAATTTGAATTTAATAAAAGGTATGGGTTTCTGTCCATGTGGTAAGGTTACGCTTAAAGTATTTGATATATTTTTATAAACTATTGATTGACTGTGTATTTTGTATACAGTTGTGATTGTGATCTTTTTAGCAACAAAATTGTTATAAAAAATGAGGTTTTCTGTGAATTGTATATCTAGACTTATGTTAATTTAAACTTCAAATGTGATTTTTAAAACTGACCCCCTAAAACTTTTTATTTACCCTGGCTCAACTTGTTTCAATTTAGCTTAAATCAGCAAGGCATTAAATCCAAATACGAGGGTGCAAAGAAAGGGTTATATAGACCAAATGAGCTTTTAAAATGCTTTAAAATTACTTTGAGTGACTTCCCTATATAAAATCTTGTAACCTGAGTGATGTATTAAATTAATGCTAAATCAAAGGTTAGTGCATGAGAGCAGTCATATGCTCACTCTTGAGAAGTGAAGGGTTTACAAACAGATTTCTCTCAGGGAAGAAAAGCAATTGACACCCAATTAGTTAAAGCATATTCCTAAAGCTCAATGACTCGAGAGCAAATTACAGTTGTCATTGTGGATTTGTGAAGTGTGCTGAACCATGATGCATTCCTTCAGAGGGAAGTTGCTCAGACATGAAAGTATAAAACGAGCAGAGCACATGTGAGTTCTCCATGTTTCTATAATATCTGAGCTTCAATAAAATAAATTTTTAAAGTAACCATGAGGTCAATTGGATGCGTTTTTATGGATTTCTGCTGCTTGTTAAAAACCTGTCGATGACTCACCAAGCTTTGAACCAAAAGGCAGTATATCAGTCCCCTTCCTCCCTGCCGTTTGTGGGCCCTTGGTTTTGTAGCTGTAAGTTGTCACAGAGGTGGCAATCTGTGCTTGAGCAAAACAACGTGAGAGAACGGGTTTTGCTGCATTAGTAAGAGGTGGGCATGCTGCTCTCTGTTTCTCAGCAGGGCTTTTCCTCCTTGGAGTGGGATTATTGGTGCTATGCGATGGTGATCAGGGAAACCCTCAAGAGCAAGGGAAGTTTTCAAACTTCTCTGTTCTTTATTTGCCAATGCTTGCTATGGAATAGCCCCAAGCCAGGACTTTATTACCAGTCAATCACTTCAGCAAGATTAGGCAAGAGGAGGAGGAGAACAGCTGTCCTTTACAAATATACATGAGACTGGGAAATAAGCTTATTGCTTATTTGACTCATTCAAGAAAAGATTTTGTTTTAATATGGGTGAAGCAGCACAGTTATACATCAGAAAAGGCATTACCTACTCACAGCCCCCCTAAGCTCCTGAACTGGTATGCTTCAGCAAGAGCAGGATCAGGATACCTCTGATGTCCCAGCCTAATGCACCAGCCACACGCCTGGACCTGGCATCCTCTCTGTGTGTGCAGCACCCATGGCAGCTGGGTACCCGGGACCACCGTGCTGCCTGCAGGCACAGCAGCTGTGGCCTGGCGGGTGAGGGCTGCAGCACGTCTGCAGGCCTGGTGAGGCGTGGGGCCGGCGGGCAGTGCTCGCCCGGAGCCGGCTGGTAACCCCTGTCACGCGGCTTGCTTGGCTTCAGTCATCCTCTTGATTCAGCAGCTTCAGTGTGGTCCTGAATAAGGATGCTTTTCTCAACTGGAAGCAGAAACTACTTAGCGATGAAGTAATTCAATAATGCTGTTCATGAAAAGCCCTCACTGTTAATTTATGGTATTTGTCATAGCTCCCAGAATACAATCATGGAAACAAAGACTGAATTGAGAACAAAAGGAGGAAACTTATTTGAGAAATTTAAATATCAAACAAATTTCATAACAATTTGAAGTGTGTCTGCTTGTTTTAATTGGTTTTAAGGAACCCACTCCAAGGTTCTAGGTGCATAAAGAAAGGAGTGTTTTCTGATTTTCTTTCTTTGCAAGCTCATTGCTCAAGAATAGTATAACAGTTAAGAGCCTTATGAGATAAGGACAATCTTCATATTCTTTCTGTTAGGTACAAGCTTTGAAAACCATGCTCTTTGTCTCCTGTAGCTGACACACAATATAGGAAACTGTAAGAAAACATGTAGGTAGACTCAGCCATAAGAAAGAGAAAAATCTTAAAATAAGTATGAAACCAGGAAATCCAATAGGAAGCTCTCATAAACTTAATGATAGCTAATCCTACATTTTGTGAAAAGGGAATTGGAACTTGAATAAAGCTTCATAAAATACAGTAAAGAAAAAAAGTGTGTTCACATCATCTGTTACTTCTTCCTTCAGCATAAACAAAGAAGATTTTGTTTTATTTTAGAAAAATTGTCTGTCATTACCTTAATTTTACTATTTTTCAGATAGTAATAGTAAACTTCTATTAGCTATTAAACCAAATAATATTGGTGTAAATTTTATTTTATTTTTCTCAATTAGTTTGACCATCTTCTCTTTGCAGGAACCTCATCCTTCTCAAATAAGACCTGAAAGTGGTCCACAAGCGGGTGGAACCACACTTACCATCTCTGGTATAAACCTCGCCACTGGTTCCAAGAAGGATGTTCAAGTTTCAGTCGGTAGCCAGCCTTGCAATGTGTATGTAGCCTGAGTAATTAACAATACAGAGCTGTATTCTAATGAAAAACCAACCTTTTCTGGCCTTAAACAAATCCATTGTCTGTCTCTCCATTACTCATCCCATGCAATGGAGTTCTGCAGGTAACATGCAGACAGAAACTCACTCAGAGGCTCCAGCTGGAAGAAGGAGCTGTAAAAGCACCCAAAGTGGGAGAATTTAGATATCCAAAGATTTCTGCAGTTTTGGCTTTCTCTGCTTGACTGACTGCTTCAAACTCACTCATGCTTTCATTCAGCATCTCCTCAATGGTTCTGTATAAAATCTTAATCTTCTAGTGACCCTTGGCTTGTTCTTCTCACTTCGTTTTCCTTTTATTAGTTGCTACCCTTCTCTTTTCTCAAAAAAGGGAAGGACACTAAGTATGTTGACGTTGCATTGTTCCTGTGTTTTTACACGATTCATTGTCATATCCTACATCTCTTTTAAAAAACCTAAGTCACCTGAAGAAAGTGATGTCTCCTCTGGTAACTAGTCAGTGCCTGCCAAAAATAGAGCCCTGGTTTTGTTGCTTCTGGGGTACTGCAGTAAAGGAATACAAACCTCCATAATATTGCTAACAGAAGGTGTTTCCTCTTCTTTTTTTTCTCCAATCTAGCACCAAATTTGGAGACGAGATCGTTTGCATTACAGGACCTAATAACAAGGTTGAAACTGTTCCAGTCACAATGAACTATGGGGGCATGACAATTATTGTACCACAGCTGTTTACATACAGTGGGAATCCTACTGTCACCAAATTCCTACCAGTAAATAGCTTCAGCAGGTAATGAAATGTTTGTCATAACTTCATTTAAAATTGGGTTAAAATATTTATAATATGTAATAAACCTATTATATATGGAACTGTTTGAAATAAACTTTTAAGTATGTAGGGTTTGTGGTCTAAACTGCAACCTATATTAGAAAGTATTCTGTTTACCTCCAAATTTTCATCCCATTTCAAAGGTCAATCCTGAAACCAGAAAAGGCAATGAGCTTCTTATAAATGACGATGTCCCAAAGAAAGAGGTTTGAAGTATTTCAGCATGTCAGACAAATGATCTTTGCATTAGTTACAAATCTATCCTACTAAGATAACCTATAGAAAAAGTTTCTAATGGAGAGGTTTCTAACAGTTCTTCTATTTAGCTTTCAATAAGTAAGCTGGAAACAAAGGAAAGTTATGGTGTGTCATCTCTTTCTTTGTCTCATGAGGAAAAAAAGGTATCCTCTTAGGAAATCTAGACCAGCGTTCAGTAATGTTTTTAGAAAGTATGCGCTGTTCTATGGTGGTACTCAGTAACACCCATCTGGTAACTGTTCCTTCTGGGGAAAAGCTCACCTAGGGCTAATGGGGAAACCAAAGAAATGTATGGCATTCTTGTACTTGTAGCAATACAGCAAATCATCTGTATAAAAGCCCTTGTAGCATACCTCTGGCTTTGAAAGTCATTCTGTGACCTATACAGGGACAAAAAGGAGCCTGATTCATGTTGGTCTCTGCTATTCCCCAGTATTCTGATCTTTCTGCTTAGTGGGGTACAGTTGGCAGAGTGGGATTGTGATATTTCCTGTTGCTTTCAGTAAAAAGAATTGCAACAACATGACCCAACAAACAGAACATTAAAAATAAATTTGACCATGACTTCTCTTGGAGTTAGTAATACCTGTCTCCTTGAATATTGAGTAGTCACTTGTATAAAATAGGATTTGGTTCTAACGTTTGCTTTTTATTTTTGGTTTGGGTGATTTTGGGGCCCGCGCTGTTTCTTTGATAGATCAGTAGTGATTTACTCCATGGAATTTAAATGACTTTTTTTTCCTCTATATAAATTGAAGCCTACTTTTATGGATCGCTTTGAGGTTTGCTATCCCTCTAAATCCATGTTACTTCAATGACTTTAATTCCTACTGGCAACTTGCGTGCATTCTTCTTCTTATGTGAATGTATTATTTTTTAAACAATGTGTTGCAAATGAAAGGGAATAGAGAAGCCAGGTCCCTACAGATCTGTGGAAAATACACTCTCACCTTTGTCTCTTTGTGTGTATGGTAGGCAGAGTGATTTTAATAATAATATTGAAGATGTAAATCACACAAGATTGGCATCAATGAAAAGCCAAAAATACTGGCAGAGCACTTTGTACTTTTTTAAATTCTGCTGTTTTCAAGTGATTTTCAAGTTGACATTGCTGGTTTTAAATGCTGTGGTCATTGATAGCTTTAACAAAAGTCCTTTTTGTAGGATATCTAATTGTCATGTAGGCGTTATATATAGGGTTTTTTTCAGTGCAAATAGTAGCAATGCAGGATGAAGCAGAGTATAGCTGTGATAGTGTGCCAATGACTTGATTTCTTTTTTAATTCTACCTTTCAGTGGAGGGAGAAATATTACAGTAACTGGAACCAGTTTTGAGCTCATACAGAGTTTCTCATTGGTGGTATATGCAGAACGTCCAGAAGCAGGGAAGATAAATCAAAAAAAGGTAATTTTCTTGCTTTCCTCCCAAAGGCACTGCATTGGATGAAAAGTATATAATCTGTTCAAAAACTGCATTGAAGTTTGCCTACTGGACTTCATTGGGCTTGGGATGAAATAAGGTTTGAACAGATTTCTTGGTCTGTTCAGGGTTTCCACGGGAGAAAATCTTGACTTTCCTACATAGCATCTTGACTTACATTCACTTGTACCTTCCCATCTTCTGCTTCAAAATTACTTTCATTCAATATGAATAAGAAAAATTATGCTTTGAGTGATAAAGTGGATGTATTTCAGAATTTGAAAGTGTTTGGTTTTTCTTTGTCTTTCTCCTTCTTCTCCCCCTGCAAGCTTTAGAGATTTGCCTGAAACAGGACCCAAATGTAGACAATGCAGAGTATTCAGCTTTGCGCAGTCAGTGCCTTTTATTTTTCTCATATCTCAATGAACCAAGTGTTCTTTTCTTTCTTGCTTCATGCATATTCCACCTGTAGCAGGTTCACAAAAAGTTGTGAAAAATAATGTTAAAAAAAAACCCTTCGTGCATCTCATGTTAAGAGGAACTGACATTACCAATAGTCTCAATTCCCCACTCTTCTAATGAAGATCACAATTTAATGACATGATTTGGGACTTAAAAGTGATCTTCCAGAAGGAATGTTATAAGACTTTTTCTAAGGCTGGCACTTCAGTTTAAGACTGTCTTGTGATCCATAAAGAGTTGTTAATATGCATGTTTTGTAATATATGCATGATTTTAGAGTATGCCAAAGCCAGCTGGATTTGGAGCCATTAGAACCCTGTCCCTAAAGATTTTTAAAAAGAAAACTGCCTATATTTGTTAGGCCAAATACAGCAAGAGGTAATTATCTTGATAACCTTGACTTCCAGGACAATCTAAAAGTCTATTTAGCATTCTTGACAGTGTTTATCAACATTTCTTACCCCTCTTATTACATATGTTCGGCCTGACGGGTTAAGTCAGCATCACATATAGCACATATTCCTGGTTAAGACTAAAAGCTTTTCTAATCTTTTGGTTTTCTTCCACTTGTATGGCAATATCAGAAGTGTTGGAGAGAAGCTATCAAATTACATTGAGTCGCAAAGTGAAAAACAGAGGTGATGATAGAACAAATGTTGAGGACTCCTATTAGTGTTGTTGATTATGGTTGATGTTACTTCAAAGAGTGTCAGGGTAAAAATATTTGTATAATTGGGAATGGAGGATGTTACCGAGTTGTTACCTTGAGTAGTCGAGTGACAACTGTTAGATTTTATCCCAAAACTTCACTTAGTAATTGCATTGAATTTCAGTAAGATGTTATACAGTGTGAGTAGAAAAAAAATCTACCCGAGATACTTAATGGTACAGAAGATGATCAGGATTAAAGGTGACATGTTAACTTCCTAATCTGAGAGGAACTTAATGATAGCAGTTCACTGTGGTAAAGAGTCACAGAATTTGGAAGCAATGGAAACTGCTCTGTAGCCTAAGCATTTTCTGCAGGCAGCTGCTAGAACACAATGAATCAATGATTTATTCTCATCAACAAATTTATTTCATTTTCTTTTTGGAAAATACCTTATACTATGTTATTTCTGCTGTATGGCAAGGATATAAATCCAGTGCTTTTATTTCTAGAGTCTGAAGTTACCAACAGTTACATACAGGAACAAGTCAGACTCTAAAATATGCATATTCTTCTTGTCTTGTTTCTTGCAGTTTTATGGAAATCTTGTTACAAGACTCAATGAAACCACGGTGGTTTTTTCTTCCCCACCAATACTGGAAGACCCAGAAAACTACAACATTACCACTGTTATTCTGATGGATCGTTATGAGTTGGTTGTAAAAAATGAGAGCCATTCCTTTGCCTATGTTGCAGACCCAACCTTTGAAAACTTTACAGATGGCATCAAAAAACAAGTTAACAAACTTATTAATGCAAAGGTAAACTTGTAGAGAGTTGGTTGCTCATTTTGTCCTTGAAGCATGTATGGAATTTTTCCTTCCTTTCTCAAAGCCTTAACAGTTGTTTGATTCCATATCCAAATGCTTGGTAAAGTCCCTTACCTCTGCTAGATGAAGAACATTAACAGCTCCCCTTTCCTCTCCCTGCCCCTTCTCAGAGAGAGTTGCTATCTTTTTAGCCATACTTTGGGGGCACCAGGGATGCCCTCTTCTGCTAAGCCTTGCATTTGGAAATGCCCTCTCCCAGTAAAGCTCCCAGGAACTGGAAGGGACATCTTATCTCACATAAGTCAAGGAGAGAAATCACATAATTCCCAATCATTCTGCGGTTCTGTAGGCTGCAGTGCGAATCACATCTGCTGCTAAAAGTGATCCAAATGGAAGGTTGCAACTTAGGATTTCTTGTCTCTCAAGACTTTGCGATGATGACTTAGCTTTTTATTTTCTGTCTAGGGCAGTAACCTGAACAAAGCCATGACAATAGACGAGGCCCAGGCTTTTGTGGGTGATGAGCCTTGCAACATAAAAACTCTTACTGAAACGGACTTATACTGTGAGCCACCAGAAGTACAGCCTCAACCAAAGAAACGGCAGAAGAGAGATACCATCAATAACCTTCCTGAATTCATTGTAGGTTGCCTTTTCTATAGAATTTAGTATCGTGTAAGTGAAATTGATACAGTGCTTCTTAACTGAAGTGATTTGTTCTCCAAAGTTGTTGTAGTACCATGAAGAAACTCCTCGCAGTTCTTTCTTCCTTCAACATCTGCCTGCTGCATAAAAGACATAACAGGCAAGAGCAGTTCCAAGCTGCCACATGCCTTCTACCTTCATTACATAGGAATGTAATGCTGTAGCTAGACAGATTGGGGATTTTTTCTTCCTCTGCTGAGCAAAATTAAATGACTTCATGGAATAAAGTGCTAGTGACCCAAATTCAGTATAAAATATTCAGAAATGCTTCCTTTGTCTGGCAGTTTGAGCTAGAAATTCACTTGTGGGAATTACTAAACTGAGAAATGAACCGCCATCCATTTGCACTTTTTGAGACAAATGTCTGTACTTATCCAATTAGGTGAAATTTGGACTCCGGGAATGGATCCTTGGAAGGGTGGAATATGATACACGTGTGACTGATATCCCACTGAATCTTATTTTGCCACTGGTACTTATTCCTATGATAGCAATAATTGGTATTTCTATCATCTGTTACAGGTAAGTTCCTTTAATTAGGTGCTTTTGTTGTCCTAAAGCTTTCAGGATACTACCTGATTGTTTTCAGCTCAGTCTACAGAAATTATCTTCATCTTTTTTATGATCTGTAGAGTTAAGAAAGGGAGTGACTGCAGAAGATATGTATGAGCACCAATTTATTCCTCTCACGCACACCAAATTCCTTGGTGTCAGTCAGCCCAGTCCGTCCTTTGTACATAAACACAGCAATTGGTCCCAGGCTTCCCAACTACACAATTGCAGACTGAGTTGCACACATAGCTTTTTGAAATGGCAGCTAAAGTGCCACTTGTGAAAAAGATAACTTATTCTGTATACATACCCATCAGCATTTATGCTGCCTCAGTCAGCACTGTAGGTCTGAGCTGGATGGATTTTACTAAGGGGTCATTTTGGCCTTTCCAGCTGAGATAAGTGCTACCCACACACAAACTGCATGATTAACAGCAAAATTCATGCTTCATAAATGGCCAGAACAATGTCTGTATTTCACTTAAGATGTACTTAGTCCAATTCTAAGGTTAATAATGAGGGCCTCATACCGTCCCTCAGAAGGAGGTGGATTTCACTCTTGTGGTACAAATCAATATAGTTGAAGCATGCACTGTTCAGCCCTGATGTTCTCTTGGATCTCTGTCAACCTTCTCAGTTCAATCCCAGACACTCTCCTGAGTGGCTTAGAGCCAGTTTAGGACATGTTGCAAGCAATCTTTGTTCAGTGCATACAAATTGAGTTTCTGTACTTGATATGTGATTAAAAGCGTTTTAGCTACTTCTTATTGGATTTTAAATCATTGGCCCAAGTGTGCTTTGAAGCAGCCAATCATGATGGTGCCAAGTGGATTTACGTGGAATGAAGACTTCGGCCACTGTTGCTGTTTTCCTCCTCTATTCTCTTTTTGCTGTATTTAAAAAAAAATCAAAGCCAGGAAAATTTCCTCCAGTCCTTTAGCTTCCCTCTCAGAGCTGTTCCAAATTGTTTACTTTCGTAATTCATAATTTTTAAAATCTTACTTCTGTTTCATAAAGACGCAAGAGCCAACAAGCAGAACGAGAGTATGAAAAAATTAAATCACAGCTTGAAGGCCTGGAGGAGAGTGTCAGAGACCGGTGCAAGAAGGAATTCACAGGTATGACAGAAATTTTCACTGCTGTGCATCCCCTTGAGCAATCAGAAGACAGGCTGAAGGAATGGTACTAGCTTGCTAAAACTGTCTTTTGGGAACAAATAATTAATAGATCTTTGTAGTCCTCATTAATGACATTGACAGAGAGGAGATATTTTGCTATTGTATATGAAAGAACTAAAATAAAATAGGTAGCCAAGGTTATTAAAATAAATGGATAGTTTTAGTCTAAAGGAAGCACAGAGTCAGAAACTGGGAGTAGAAACCAGTTGAGCCATTAATGTGAGTGGTCATTAATATGAAGATAAGAATGTTTTGTAGTGACTAACCACGCACTTAGTATTTAGCACAATGACTGTATGTGCTAAGTATGCACATTGGGAGATGTTTGAGAGCTGCAAAATTTATTTGCAGCAATCATCATACAAAGGGATAATTTGCTAAGCTCACAGGAAAGAAATAACATTTTTCCCTGTTTATCGTGGGAAAAACCTTAGCTTGATTTGAGGAGCTAGCTAATTGTCCAGTGTAAATGTAGAGGCATCATCCCAGGGAAGGCAGCGGGAGTTGTGAAGGCTCAGCATTTTTACATGTTGAACTACTCATTGCAATGCTTAAATTAGGCATCTGAGTGTAAACATAGCAAATATTGGCCTAAATGATTATCATCAAATGTCACCTCATTATCTGAATTATACTTGCTGTTGGGTCATGTTGAAATAATCTCTGTTAAAAAAATTACCCATGTGTTTTATTTCTAAAGAGAAAACATTATTTCATATTGACAATAGCTAAAAAGCAGGATTGAGTAAAACAGCAATTTCAGGTTAGACTTGGAAATTAATTTAAGAAGCTCAGGATATCTCCAGTATTTCAGCCATGCTGAAAGCCTCGGCCTCAGCCCCAGTCATGTTTTTTCTGGCATTTCTGGGACAAGATGTTCTTTACTTGTACCAGGTTGCTTTTTCTGGAAAACCAACTCCTCCCAGGTTCTGGACATAAACTAGAAGCAAATGTTTGAATCAAGAATTATTCCCAAATGGGCTTAATTTCAAACTGCATTTTGAACTGTGAGAGGATCTATCAAGGTCCTCCATTCCTCTCTCCACTTCTCCCATGGCACTTCATACCTGTTTCTGAAAGAAGGTGCTTTTCTCTTGCTGGGGCGAGAGTAGGGGGCTACAGATTTCTGCTACCTGTTGGGTTGAAGATACAGAAAGTACAAACACTGGGGAAGTAGAATGCACATCCAAGGAGTAATCCAGTTCCTAAACTACACCCACCTTGACTGAGTTACATGAAACACTGAAGTCAAAACACATTCTGGTACCATACTGTGAAATAGTAATGTCAACAGCACGAAGTGCAGACAGTCTAAATACATGGGACCAAAGATAGCCAAGGAGAGGAACATCAGGAAGAAAGTGCTAATGCCACAAAGAAGGAAACCAGAAGATGCTTTCTCCCTCAGCTTTGCTGAATGCTATAAAATAAAGAGGTAAATGAATGAATAAGAGCAATAAAACTCCTGAGACAATAGGTCACTAGATTAATTAACATGGTATTCTAGTCAATCAGCAATATTGGGTAATTGGAAAGCCTTCAGCTAGAATAGCTGCTCCAAAGGATGATTCCCTAATTTTTGTCCCTTTTAAGAATTTCAGAGCTTTTGAGTCCCACAGAAATGTTTCCATCAATTTCAATGAACTATTTAACCTTCTTCCTTCCTGCCATTCCTTTCCTTTCAATTAAATTAAATTAGCATGCTTTACACTTTAAACCTTTCTTTCCTTGATTGTTTTTAAAGGAACTTTCATTACTACCTAGACTCAGAGGGTATGGAGTGGGAAAAAACCGAACCAAATCAAAACAATTAAACAAACAAACAAACAAAAATATCATAGTGGTTTTTGTTCTGTACTGCATATCTTACATATCTTACATAATCTTACATTCATATATATAAACTCACAGAGATGCCCATTAAGGCCCTTTTTCAGATAGTCAACAACAAGGAAGCTGTCAGTGCTAAGGGCAGTTATCTTCATGTCACCATAGGATTAACTGTGGTCATAGTTAACACCATAATTGGTAAAAATAGCAAGAGAAAATGTGAGATGAAATAAGATTTTTTAATGCTGAGTTGCTTTTTCTCTATTACAAGGCTCCCAAAGAGATTGTGTTGCCTAAAAAACCTGCAGGCTTTTTTAAATGAACCTTTAAACTGCATTGCATATTGCAGATCTAATGATAGAGATGGAGGATCAGACAAATGATATCAATGAAGCTGGAATTCCAGTACTGGACTACAAAACCTACACAGACAGAGTCTTCTTCTTGCCCTCCAAAGATGGAGAGAAAGATGTGATGATTACGGGGAAGCTGGATATTCCTGAGGCTAGGCGCCAGACTGTGGAGCAGGCTTTGTACCAGTTTTCTAATCTCCTCAACAGCAAATCATTTCTCATTAATGTGAGTACTGAAGTAGATTCACTTTGTCTCTTAGGTAGGCATAACTGTGTATGCAAGACAGGAGGTTTGCAAACACAACTGAACCAGAATTATTAAAAATAAGGGATGTTGTGGTTCTGATTCCACAGTAACCACTGCACATATATGGTATCACAACCAGAGCTTCCTGGTGGGACAAAGAGGCAAGGTCCTATTTATGCACCAGGTCATGTAGTATGGAGCTAGTCAACATTGCAGTGGCTGTAGGAAAACGGATATTACCCAATCTGGCATAAAAACTGGTGTTACAAGTTTGTTTTAGCCTTTTAAGACATGTGATCAGAGTGCTGATTCCAATCCTGGCTTCTTACAGGAGTCACCTGTGGGCAGCCGTCTGCTGAATCTCTGCCCCCAGAGAGGCAGAGGCTCCTCAAGTGACCTATTCATCAAGACTGATGTTCTCACAGCAGTTCTGAAGAGACTTCTAATTGCTCACTCTCAAAAACTGAGGCTCATTGTCAGACACCTAAATATAGATTTAGACTTCTAACTTTTTCTCTTTTTTTTTTGTTTTTTTAATGAGGCTCTAGTGCTGAGCTAGTTAATGGTAGTATTAGAGTTTATGGCAGATGAAAGCACATTCCCAGGTGTAGTTATATTAGTGTCTTTGTAATTTGACGTAAAAGGACTGGGAATTTGGAGGAGAGAAGAGTTAATTTTCTCTTTTAAAAAATTGTCACAGAACACTGTTCTTCATTAAATTAAAGCACCCTTTTTAGATAAGGTTTTAGTTAAGTATATAAACATTCCTTGGGTCAGTCCAGTGCACTCTGTGCATATCTAGAAACAAATTCTGGGCAACATTTTCTTATAAGTAGTTTTTTTGAACTTCTGAAAACTTTTCCATTCTGCACTTAGGAGATTAATATTAAAATAATATTTCTTGTCTTCTTAGCACAGACAAGTGTTGAGGTTCTTCAGAAACCTGCCATCTGACTTGATTCTACATTTGTTTTCTGTTTCAGTTTATTCACACGCTGGAAAACCAAAGGGAGTTCTCTGCTCGAGCTAAAGTGTATTTTGCATCTTTACTGACAGTCGCTTTACATGGAAAGCTAGAATACTATACTGACATCATGAGGACGCTGTTCTTAGAACTTATGGAGCAGTATGTTGTGGCCAAAAACCCAAAGCTGATGCTAAGAAGGTTTGAATGATTGTCATATTTTCTGTAGGTCTCTGGTTTTCTGTAAATGTGTTTCTTTTGCAATGTGACTGTATTAAAATGCCAGCTATCTGTGAAAGTCAGAAATAGCTTGGCCCAAGCATATTATGAAGACAAGCCCACAGGAGCAGCTGTTGAAGGCACAGGCAGGACTGCTGGCCACAGATTTCCTTAGTCAAATACTGTAGTGCAGAAACACTTACCTTACTTCAAAATATTATATTGAACATTTCATTTACTTTTTAATCTAACCTTATTTCAAATGATCTAGCATTTATACCAGGCATCATCTCTGTAATGAGCACATATAATCAGCTTGCATTGTGCTTTCAATGAGGGCTTGCTCTAGTGTTTTAACCCATTTTTTATCCTAAGTAAATTACAATACACTTTGCTGTGTTTATGTTGTAGCTTTGTAATCTGTAGGTTATTTCCCAGTAACTGCACATCTAGGTTAATTTTTTAGCTCTTACAGCATAGACCCAGTTTAAGGTTTTGCATAAAGGATGTGTGATTTTCAGCAATGAGCTGAAGGTACGCGGGAATGATGAGCAATACAAGGCACTTATCCTAGAGCAAGTATATGCTTTCAAGGCTCTATAGGGAAATCATTACATTAGGAGAGTGCATGCAGTTAAGCGTGTAAGGATGTTATATTTCAAGCAAGCAATGTACCCTTACCATACTCAGGATTGGTTGGGTTTTTTTTCAGGTCTGAAACGGTTGTTGAGAGAATGTTGTCTAACTGGATGTCTATTTGTTTATATCAGTACCTCAAGGTAAGAGTAAAAGTCTATTGCCTGTGGGTTTTTTTTTTAATCAGTAATACTTAAACATGCTGCATTGAGTATATCTTTTGGTTTTGCTTTATTTCATGTTCCTTCCTTTAAACAGGACAATGCTGGGGAGCCTCTTTATAGGTTGTTCAAGGCTATCAAACACCAGGTAGAAAAAGGCCCAGTGGATGCTGTACTAAAGAAAGCCAAGTATACACTGAATGACACAGGCTTACTGGGAGATGATGTAGAGTATACACAATTGGTAAGCAAAGCATGATTAATAGATTACAAAATCCTTTTCTATTTTAAAATTAATTCCTGTTAAGTCTGTACATAGTTTTCTAGACTACTGTGAACTGCATAGAAAATCTTATCATGTGCATGACTGACAATAGTTGACCAAAACAAGAATCCAAGCAGGAAAACACAATTATAAAGTGTCTTCTAAGATAAAATCCAAATCCTGCCACTGTGGAATCCATTTCAATAAATCCCTTTCGTAATTTTCAGTCAGTCTGAACAGTGGTTAGAGTGTTTGGCTCCTCCCTTTTTTGCATCTAAATTCACTGGTAATTGATTTTAGCAGAATTCTTGCACTACCATTATTCTTGAAATTCAGGTTATCTTTCTCCCTTATGATTGCTGCTGGTCAGCATATCAAACATCATTTTAGAGATCATTCTATTACTATAGCAGGATGAGCTCCTCTGCAGTCCTGTGAGATGGCTCTGCAATCTCCAGAATACTTTATGAACTTTTTTCTGCATTTGTTCCTATGTAAGTCAAACTCTCCTGAACATGGATGTTATCGTTTACCTGGGCTGAACGCCCCGTGTCCACCGAGGCTCCGCCCAGCCACTCCCAGAGGGAAAAGGAGGAGGGAAGGGGGGAAAGAAAAAAACTTGCAAAACCAAGACTGCTAAGAAGGCAGTTTGTTTTCCTCCTCCAAAGAACAGCCGTCTATCCCGCACAACTGTCCCAGGAGAGAAGGAAGGAGTTGTTTCCTTCTCATCTCTTTGTAGCTGGGCTGACATAACATGGTATGGAACAGCTTATTGGTGAAATATACATCTGGTGACCTATCCTGGTTCCATTTCCCTCCCAGGGAGGGTTACAAACCCACTACAATGGGCAACCAAACTGGTATTCAAAGGTGTTTATTTCCACCTAGGAAAATAATTCTCTACAGTGCTGAGGGGAAGCTGCATCTACAGGCAGTTCTGGAGACCTGTGTTACATCCTCCCAGTGGGATAGGTGGACACTGCTGCCAAGGAAACTCCCCCTGTGAGCTCTATCACCCCCTGAACCTGATCACCAGTGCCATGGTCCAGTTCTCTTCAATTATGTATTCTGCTTTGACTTAATTTTGTTCCCTGACAGAAATTTTCACCACTTTCTCAACCATACTCCAGAAAACAAATTCACTGCCCTTTTAAAAAAACTGAAGCAGCCCACTCTTTAGCTGTTCAGAGAGTGTAAAATCTAGTTTTACTCTTTCTGATAGTCTTGCTGGTTTTCTTCAGGATACAGTGCAGTAAATATCTAAGATGCACAGACTGTCCTTCAGAGACCAGCACAGGATTTTTTTTTTGTTTTCTGATTTCTTTTTTACTGACATGTTAGGAATCATTTGTAGTTGTCTCCAACATGAAGGGAGGTACTATTGCCATAAGTTATTGGGATCTCAGGCACAATGATGATGATATGATAACTGAACAGTTAGGGAGCATTTGTGCACCAGTATTGGTTAAAATATGAGTTAATACCTTCGCTTCTGCCTGAAAGTGAGACAAGGTGGGAAAGTACAGCACAGAGCAGTTGTCTGCTCTCTAATTGTTCTTATTTAAAAGATGAATCTGTTTTGCATCACTGGTTACACTGACGTGCTGCATACTGAACCAGCAGCAAAATCATGTCTAATTACCATAAAGCTAATAGGAAAAGGAAGGTGAAATCTCATGATTAGTTTGAGAGTTCTGTCAAGGGACAGTGCAATCATGTTTAATTTGACTGCCATATGGTGTAGCTTTTCTACTGATTAAAAATACCAGCTACGCAAGTTTATTTTTGAGGTCTGATATGATAAATTCAGGCATTATGGTTGGCAGGACCCTATGTATCTGAGAGCTGCCGTGCTTTGGATGTGCCTGGCCTCCTAAGCTACTTGACTGGCAAAAGATTCACGACGGCACTGAACTGTTGTACTGATTTAGCTAGTGAAAGGAAGAGGACTTTCATAACATCTACTTGGTTTTGTTGATTTTTTTTTTCCTTCTGTGGAGGTTTCTTGGCCATAGTTTTCTTATTTGCTTTTGTCTATATTGAAACTGACACTTATATAGCAAAGCTACTTTCAAAAAAATCACTCTAGATTTAGCAAATTATAGGCTTTCAAGAAATTCTCCTTAACATAAAAAACCATGTCAATACTATCAGAAAACAGTAATATTTTAGAACTAGCATAAGCTACTTAGGTGTATTTTTTCTGGGAGCTATTAGAGTTATTGTGATAATAATAAGCAGTAAATGAGGTTTTCAAACACCAAAGATGATAGAAATGGCTTTTACATGTACGTATGTGTGTGTGTGTGTGTGTGTGTGTGTGTATTTAATGAACATTGGTCACAGGAGGCAAAGTAAGGGAAGCTGAACAACACACTCCTCGTCAGTTGAGCTGTGTTAAATCACCAGATGTACAGAAGTAGCCTCAACTTTAAAACCACAGCTGTGAAGACAGCATAAAGAAAGGCAAAAGCACACAATATTCTAGGAGTTCAGCAAAGTGCAGTTCAAATGATTATTGAGAACTCAAGTTTGGACACTGCATTACATGGGCTTTTTTATGTTTTTATGTTTGAGATTATCAGTCATTGGTCCAGGTTCTTTGTTCTCAAGTGTCCTTCTTTATTAACCTCCCAAGACTCAATAATATTAGCATATTATACATGACTAAATCTATTTGTATCTTTTATGTTTTGTCATAGTGGTAAGAATTTGTGATATCTGGTTGGCTACATAATAGCAAAGGATCCTTCAAATAATCCCTCAAATAATCCATACTACTATTGCAAATATGTGTTGCTGTGCAATAATCATTGCATGGTGAATTTCAGATACTATTAGCATTTAAATCACCCAGAAAAACAGATGCAGAGGTAATTCAGCACTGAATTGTCTTAATAATCATGTACATTCTTTTCTTTACAGACAGTTAATGTATATGTGCAAGATGGTGGGAACGAATCCATACCTGTGAAAGTGCTGAACTGTGACACTATATCACAAGTAAAGGAAAAGATAATAGACCAAGTCTATCGAAATCTGCCATGTTCTCAGTGGCCAAAAGCTGAGAGTGTAGTTCTTGGTAGGTAGCTCCTTGTGATACTATATTGAACAGGTGAGACGAGACGTGATTTTATAGTTTCTCAAAAAATGCCTATAAGAGCATTTATTGCTTGGATTTGGTTTGGTTTGTATTTTCTTTTAAAAAAAAATTAATTGTATTCATGTTCAGCTGAATGCAAAAATACAGCATTTTGCAGCAATCTTAATATGCCTTAAAAATGAATGCTTTCTTACAGAGTTATTTTTCCTGACTTAAAATTTCGGTATACTGTCATTAGTGTGCAAAGAGCCTATTAATGACTGTTAGCACAAATGTATTCATGTCTGACAGAGTCAGTATCTCAGGTACTAATTAATGTGATAATGACAGCATGGATAATTAACTGATGGAGAAATAATGATGCAATTTCAGAAACTGGTACTGATTTTTAGTTGCCTTTATGATGGTTATTCAAAAGAATTATAACTTACAGGAACTGCACTTTTTAGTAGATGATGAACCATCTAGCTTCTGAAAATCATCCTCCTTGAAGGCTTTCAAAATAGCTGTTCTCTTCTTGAGAAAAAAAAGAAATGGTATTACTTAAAAAGGCCTAATTATCTCATAATAAAAGCTCCAATTAATATTTTTTTTCAATATCTTCATTACTTCATTAATCTGACAGTAGAAGATGGAATTCTTGTTCTTCAGAAAATCCTAGTAAAATCCCTAAAAATGTCTTTTCTATTCCATGAAGTCCTACTCTATTCATAGACTGATAGCAGATCTTATATATTTATAGTATTCTATGCAAAGGAATTTAACTTTTTGTGGAAAATAATCAGAAGTCATATGCATGGTTAGGAATAGTTCATGCAAACTTCTGTAATAAAGACCAAAGGATTAAGCTATAAAACCACACATTTGGGCATATGCTAAATTACTTCTCTTAATATTCCACAATGTGTCAGTAGGTCTGTAAAACATTCTTCGAGTAGTTATTTTTGCATTGTTAAAAACTGGTTTTTCTCACTTTAATTACCCCTTAGAGTGGCGTCCAGGTTCTACTGCACAGATCCTCTCAGACTTGGATTTAACATCCCAAAGAGATGGCAGATGGAAACGTATCAACACATTAATGCATTATAACGTAAGGTGTTTCAAAACAGTTATTTGCACCTGTTAACTGTTCTCTAGTAATAAATAAAATCTTCATTTGTTTTTAGAGAAACTTCAGTGCTACATAAAGGTTGCCCAGAAAAGTTGTGGATGCCCCATCCCTAGAATTGTTCAAGACTGGGCTGGATGGGGCTTTGAGCAACCAAATCTAGTGGATGATGTCCCTGCCCGTAGCAGGGGGGTTGGAACTAGATGACCTTTACGGTCCCTTCCAACCCAAACCATTCTATGATTCTGTGATAAAGAATCAAAAGAAAAACACAGGGCTTGGGTCTAGGCAGTAAAAGCTTCAGAGTGTGAAAGGCTGGGTTTAGACATATTGCCTAAACATCTTACATAAAAACACATCACCTAAATGCCACCACTTTGGTTCCCTCATCATTGCAGTATCCAAATCTAAACTCCCCTTTGAACATTCAAAACTCCTTTTGCTAGGTCTCATATTCATCTTTTCTCTCCTCTACCACTTCCTACCCCTGAGAATTGTCCTTGTCATTGCTGTGCTGCTGAATAGATTTTGGGTTGGTCTGGTTTGTTCAACAGCCCAGTCAGGAGAGCAGATGTTGACAGTTTTGTACCGTCTGTTTTAGGTTTCATACTGTGCACTCTACCACGCACTTGCAATCCACTTATCTTTCCTTTGTATGCTATTTATTGCCTTCCAGCAACAGATACCCTGATTAGAAAAGAGAGAAGTTGGTTGGTTTTCCCTCAGAAGACAGACAGGTCTGATTCTTCATGATAAACCCCATTTTTGTACAAAGGGCACCCACACCAGATTGAGGAGCCACTTAAGCCTTGGAGATGCTCCTAATATTTCAGTAATCTCAGAGGAGGTGTTGATGGGATCTCTTATTAAAGGAGGGGGAGGGAGTCTGTTCTGAATTGCAGTCAGTTTCCCAAGAAGCCTTTGAAGGGCAACGTTCATCGTAGGTCTAGATTCCCTGCAAAAGACTACAGAAACCACAGTTTATGATTTAAAAAAGACGTTCAGTAGGGCATGCTTCTTCCAAAGAACATCTCTGTGTTTGTATTTTCAAAGGTCCGAGATGGTGCCACACTCATCTTATCGAAAATGGGAATTTCCCAGCAGCCAGAGGATAATCAACAAGATGTCCCAGGGGAAAGTAAGTATCTTGTGGCGTCCCTACCTCTCGAGATGACTAGAAGTCAAAACCCACATAGAGAGAATAATGCTGCTGTCTTGATCTTGATTATCAAGCACTTCTATGGAGCTACATATTCCCCACCAGACTATACAGGGTTTATTTGTTGTGTGTTACCCACTGTACACTTGCGATAGTTGTCTTTGCCCTCATTATAGAAGTCTTAAATACTGAGACTTTACCCATAATTTCTGTGAGTCTATACCCCAACTTAATAGAAAACAATCTTATTAAACATTTCCTTGCATATTTTGTTTTTTAATCACACTACATTTATAGTCAAAATATATGTTTCATCTTCCCAGAGCTTAATCTCTTTTTGTCCTTTCTGCATCCTTTACTCACTTTCCTCTTCAAATTTCTTCTATTTCTTATTAGGCTGAGAATTAAATGCAGTGTTCTTGATGAACCACGGTACAGACTAGGTCCCCTCTCTGTGATATAATGGATCTGATGCAATTTTTTTATTGCATTTCTTACAACTATGTTGCCTTGCCTCTGTACATTCATATTTTGTGTCTCTCTCCCTTTGAGTGGTGTTTCATAAGCTATGTTTTTTTCAGGGCTTTTTGATTGACTTCATTCATTCCATGCATTTTATCTCCTTAGATACAGTGTTTTTCACAATTCCTTTGTTCTTTTTGAGGTTTGCAGTCCACTGTAAGTTAGTGTCAGGAATTTCCTCATACTGTTTCTTCTCTTTCACATCACTAATGCAGCTCTTGTATAGTTCTTGTATTGCTGTCTGCTACAGTATGCTGGACTTCTCAACACAGAAGACAACCTGTTAGCTTGCAACCAATCTTTTAAAGCTTTTACTTTTACATGTTAGTGTTCTGTCTAGACCAATTTTCTATATCTCAAAATCTCTTGAGACACAATGTCCATTACAGCCTCGAATGCACTCAGATTTTTATGGAAATATTTACGTGTGAATTTATGTTCTTTGTTACATGTATTTCCATTACAGATTTCAGATGTTCAGTTTCTCTGGTGTTCTTTTATCTTTATATTCAGTTATTTTACAGAAAGTAGAGGTTAGATTTATGGAACAATAATTGTTGAGATCATTCTTCCTCCTATGAACTTATTTGATATCTTTTTCTGTCTAGCACTGATTGTAAAAGCCATTGCTTTACACAGTAGTTTCATTCCTTTAAACAGATTTATTGATCTTAGATTTAATAGGTTTCAAGGGCTGGGCAGTCAAACATGTTGGAAATAATATGCCAGAAATGTACATTTTTCAAGAAGATGGGTCTCAGCTGATAGCTCTGACACATATCACTATTTAGCAGAAATGTGCAGACTTTCATTTCATTTGTTTTGAGTGTTGGACAGGAAATTAAGACAGGCAGAATTAATTGCTGTTTACTTGTTACTCTGTCCTTCTGGGTTCTTTCTATTGAGACTTTTTCCAGCAGAAAGAAGAGTCTTCTAATCGTCGTGTCTACACTTCTGCTGCTATCTCTCAGTCCTTTACTGCAAGTGCCTGGCACAGCTGGCCAAGCAGTGACTGTTCTGTCACAGCAGGTGCCAACCCAGCATGTTAACTTAAAAATCTATCCAGTTCAATACAGAGGGCGGTGGAGTGCAGCCAGGCAAGGAGCTGATTCCTAGTCCCTGTTCAGTTTGGTTGCACTGATTGCTGAGGCCATAGTTACCTCCCCTCTGAAAAGAATGGGGTGGACCATGAATGGAATCTGGTGGTGCCCCTAATTGCTTTGCTTTCTTAACAGAGAACAGTGGTCAGTCTTCTGTTCTGGACTCCCAGTCTTCATCCTCCTCATCCCTCTACTCTTGTGGCAGGCAGTAGAGGACCAGACCACATGTTTTTCTTTTTTTGTTGGATTAGGTTTTTTTCTTTCCTCCTTCTCTACAATTATATCATTGGATATGATTCAGTATGATGAAGCTCTTTGAACAAACGTGATCTGTACTCCAAGGTGAATTCCTTAGTTATATATGTAGCATACGAAGTTGTAAAGGAAAAGCAGAGTTCTGGGGACAGTGCTGTCACACAATGTCTCTTGTACACAAGAGAAAAGTCTGCAGAAAATTCAGATCCCCAAGTATCAACACTTTCCACCATGTTTCTTCTCCACACCCCATCTTGCACCATGGTAGTGTACAAATTTGGAATGACAGTGTTTCGTGCCAGTCTACCCCATTTTCTTTAGCACCAAAGGGTCCCCAGAGCTATATGGTGCCAACTTGTTCTGTTGAAAAGCTATAAAATGTTACAAAGATAGTGCAAAGTGAGAGCCTACCGTAACAGTGATTTGTGTATAAAAGGGAGAGGAGAGGATCGGAGGCTTCCTCTCCCACACATACATTTTTATATGACACAGGGATTTACAGGGTTGGAATAAACAGAAATCCTATCCTGACTCTGTGAATGAGGCTTGTGATGAAGTGGATTTCCTTCAGTCTCACTAACTTGCACCTTTTTCACTGAGAAGTGTCAGCTGAAGTCATTGACTGTCAGCCAAAGTATGAGGTTTTGCACAGAAAGAAAATGTAAAACCATGCTCAGAGATATTGCTCTAAAAGCATTGCTTCCGTGCTGCTTTTAATTCACAGATTATAACAGGAAGACACTAGAAGCTGGAGGTTGTGACAAATTAAATGCAGCATCTTTTGCTTCTGGAGACAATAAATGCAATTACTAATTTGCATCAAGATGGAGAATGGTTTCAGTGGTTTTGTACTAGTATTTCTTTACTGAACTGTAAACAAATACAACACATTTTGTTATTCTGGGTGTTTTCTCTGGGTTTTGGTTTGGTTTCATTTATTTTTACTTTTCTAATTCTGAATAAAAATAGACACAGGGTTGCAGATCAGAAATACTGATTAGCAGATCCAGGAGTGCAGCCCTTCCTTCACCTCCATGGAGCAGTATTCATGGGGTGGAGGAGACTGGAAGGAGGATAATTTGCTTCAGGTCACACAAGGGAAAAGGGGCTGCATTGCCTGTCACGATCTCATTTGCCTTCATCATGTTTACATCATGGTTCATACCACTATAATTAGTCACCATAGTCTGTATTTGCCATTAACCCTTCCCTGTCCCCCCACAAATTATTTTATATTGGCCAAAGAATGCCCAAGGGCCAAGACAAATTGTTCAGGGGGGAGCATTGGACCCAGTGGCACAACCTTCTCCCTGCATAGAGCTTGATGCATAGTATGGCAACAAAAAAGGAGGTATTTTCCCTATCTTTTATTTTCTTCACTTCTTACTTTTCCGTTGGGAAAAATATTATCTCACAGAAATGTTATTTTCTCTTAGCAACCATGCTGCTGACATGTTTTGTTGCCCCATGTTCTGAATTTCTCTTCCTCTGTCTTCCTCCTATTTAAAGCAATGAAGTGGGACCTTTGTGTTGCAGAAGTTCATCTGTTTGAGCTGTAGTCTCTTAATCCTTACTTTCCAAAGAAAATACTGCTATTCCACTAGTAGCCAATTCTGCTGTTGCTAAACAAACACAGGACAAATTAAACTGCTTGTAAGAACCAGTAATCTCAGTGGAAACCCCTCTAGTTGTTTCCTCTTCTCTCCAAAGTTAAACTGGGCCATATACCATCAGGAGAACAAAGAGAGGATAAATTCCTTTGAATCAGAGGAAGCAGAAGTGTACCAAACGACTGACATGCGACTGGAAAATAGTTTCTGCTCTAACCGTGTGATTTGATCTGTTAATTTATAAAAGTAAATAACAGGGATTGCAAAAGAAATTCCAGACTTCAGGCCCAGCAGCAGTTCTTACTGTACTGGCAGGTGATTGCCATGAATGTTATCAATGGCAAAATCACAGCTGCTCCAAAATAAAGTGATTGCTTTTATTTATTTCTGGCTTCATTCACATGAACTTCCAAGTTGAATTAAGGACCCTCAAAGGACAATGTGATTTAATATGGGATTTATACTTTTTTCCTACCTTGTTAAAAAGAAGTAGAGGTCCCGGAAGACTGCATAGCTAATGCTTTTGATGAGGATATATGAAGTAGATTCAGGCAAAAGTGTCATCTTAGCCAGATTACATAAAAATGTTACTTTCCCTGCAATGTAAAATATTGAGCACTCATGAAAGCTTGGAAATTCAATGTAGCTGTTGAGGAACTTAGTTAATAAACTACTATGGTCAAAATTAATGCAATTAGAAACTGATATTTTGTAACTGGGATTCAGTTATGTTAGAGATGTATATTAAGGCATAAAACTTAGCAATAATGCAAAATAGTTTGTGCAGTGGGGCTGAATCACAATTTTTATGGGAAAAATAACTTTCATATTTTTAAGACGTCAATGATTTTATATGTACTGGTTCAATAACTCCCACTGGAAAAGCGCCATTGATTTTTGGGATTATGCCAAAGATTTAAAGGAAGAACAGGCAAAACCAGGAGATTTAAAAGTAAGTTTGTGACACAGAAACTCTTTTCGAGGAATATTAATTGCAAGTTAGAACAACTGTATCATCTCTTTCAGAACTCTTTATAACAAAATATTCTCAAGCATACAGTTTCTCTGAATAATAATGTTGATGCTGAAATGCAAAGCTCCTTTTATCTGCTCTGTGATCATTGAACTAAGCTCAGAGACCGGATGCATGGCCAAGCTACAGATAGCTTAGTGAGGCACTGTAATCAGAGGAGTGTCATTAGCATCCAAGTGCTTACCCCTGATTCTGCTACATGGTAACAGAATTGATGTGAATCTCTCTCTCTGGTTTCAACAATGAATACTGACCAAAAAAAAATTGAAAATCTTATTATAATGGATATGAATTTGCTGCATTCATTACCTCTGGCTGCTGGAGTTCATGTCATCTCAGTGAAAGGATGCATTTTTACTCCTTTCTGCTACAAAGTCAAGTGGTGCTGGTCAAATGCTGATAACAGAAGGTTTGAACTGAAGTACCATACTTTGACCTCAGCAGTTAGGGTAAAGGTGTGAATTGTAGTGGTACTACCTAGAAAAAAAGGTTGTACCTGAAGCAGTATGGTATTTCTGTGATGGCTGTGGGGTCAGACCTAGCTGAGTTTCCATAACTTGGTCGTGTCTCCAAGAATTCACAAGGAGCAGAGTACTTCAGTGTGTGGACCTCAAAGAATACACATACTGTGCTTACATGACCAAACAGAAGTTTCATTATCTTGTGATTCCTTCCTCTTCCTTCAGTCTTGACAAAAGCAAGCTTTTTCAGCTGTGTATTGTTGAATGTTTAGTACTTGAGTTGTTTATGTTGGACAGGAACAGAGTAATCTAGATCCTTTTGGCAAGAGGACAGGTATGTTAAGGCTGGGGAACAATTACCTTACATATACATATGTATATGATTATTTTTGTGTTGCTGTTTTGGGTGCGGGGTGGTTTTTCTAATTATTGCAATTACTGTTTCTAGGGCATGCACTCCTGGAAGATGAAAATAAGGTCTGGCATCTAGTCCGGCCAGTAGATGAAATGGATGAAGGTAAATCAAAGCGGGGCAGTGTGAAAGAAAAAGAGAGGACCAAAGCTATTACAGAAATCTACCTGACAAGACTTCTTTCTGTGAAGGTAGGGCTCAGATGTGCTATGGCTACACCTTACTTCTATAGAGTTTGAGGTACAACTGAAGAAAATGATACAACTATTAGTCATTTATTTGGCTGCATTTTGAATATGCGTCATGTACATACAAGCTGATGTTCAAGGTTTCAAGTGATTAATATACCCTGAGGAACATTACTGGGAAAGCGATAAAGTACAATTCCTGATCAAAGCTGAGAACCATTATTATGTGATTTTTAAATAAGGATTTTCCTTGCTAAACGAAGATGGATATTCTACTCTGTGTCACCTGTTTAGATAATATTTTGTTGGGTTTTCTTTTGAACTGAATGCTTTATAAACTCCTACAGAGCCTTATATTTCCCCGTTCTTGTGTGTGATCAACACTGCAGTACAACCTAGAAAAATAAAGTTTCCAAATAATAATAGTCCTTTCAGTGTATTTTTAGTGCCTATACTGCAGGATGGATCATGAGCAAAATAATTTTGTGAAGCATTCCTCTATGGAGAAGAATTTAGAATAATGTGTATAATGACCCTAAAGCCAGGATCATCATGCAAATGGAGTGGTCTGGCTCCAGCTAAGGCCATTTGACTAAGTATGAAAATGGATGTGAAGGAAAGTCTGTATATAGGTGACATAGACTCAGGACAAAGAGCTAGCAAGATGTTTACATTCCTCTTTTCTTTTTTATAATTCCTATGCAGCCACTGCTTTTCTATTCCCAATAGCCAATTCATAGATTTTTACCAGTCTGGAACTTTACTGACTCATACAGAGCTGGTGAGGTGTTATGGCTGGAATCACAACTACACCTACAACCTAAGGACTGTCAATGTGTCCTTACTAACAGCAGAATAGCTTAGGGCTCCTTGCCATCTGGGTCCCTCCCCTATTTGGAGGCTGGCAACTGGAGTGATGGTGGTAAAGAGGATGCAGCCCTTCAAAAGTGTCAGCCAATCAGCTGAGCTGGGATTAACTGTATGTGGTCTCATCAGGGTCATCTCTAAAACAAATGAATTGTCTCTGAGATCACAGTCTCTAAGGTCCAGGCAGATGCAGGAATCCAACCAAGCACACAACCCTCGTGGGACTCTTCACTCCTTGGGCTTGGTGGAGTTCATGGAACTGAGTCTGACTGGATGTCTGATAAGACCCAAGTGCTTGCCCTCAAACAAAAAATCAAATATTCACTGGCACTTCTTCGTCTCAGTCTCTTTCTAAAAATTGCCTGGTGTTCTGGTGTCAGAGAAACTGGAGGTAAGAAGCTGCAAAACCGTTAAAAAGTGGCTAAATATTATTTGATATTCACGATGACCCTGAAGTGAAAATGTAACAACCAGTTTCTGCTGCTTCTGTCAAGCAGAAGGCACATCTTTCTGTGCAAACCACAGGATATTTGGTGAAGTTACAACCTTTCAGTCTAGAACATAAAATTGTGCTCTAGAAGGTCTTTACTGTGTTGGCAGTTTACAAGGTCACTTCACGAAGAAGTTGCTTGCTTTTTGTCACTCTTAGCACTCAGGATGAAGGCCATCAGTGACTGCAACTGGATAGTGGGCTCTTATGGTCAACAGGAATAAAAGATGGCACTGAGTTCAGCTTGTAACACAAATGTAATTGATTTTTTTAATTTGGTTTTAGGGGACACTTCAGCAGTTTGTAGATGACTTCTTTCATAGTGTGCTCAACTCGAACCATGTGGTCCCACCAGCTGTGAAGTACTTTTTTGACTTTCTTGATGAGCAAGCAGAAAAACATGACATCAAGGATGAAGATACCATTCATATCTGGAAAACAAACAGGTACCGTATGAACCGTCATACTTGTATTGCAGAGAAATGAGAGTGTAATTTCTAGGTAGATACTAGCACTCTTACCATAAATCAAAGTAAATTTCATTTACAATCCTCAGAATCATTTTAATTGAGATAATATGTTTGTGTGATCAAAAGAATTCCCTGTAAGCCTAGAAGCTGCAAAAAATTAAACCAGATTACCTATGGGATTGTCACTGGCAGATTTACTGCTTTTTACTTTTTGTCTTTCCTCAGATAAGAGGAAAGCAAGAGGCAAGTGAGCCTGCCAAATCACAAAATCTAATACATACTTGGCAGTTTCTCTGACCACACAGACATCTTCTCTTGCTATTTTGAGGCACTCAAGATTCTTCTCATATGAGTTTTTCTGTGAGAGATATAAAGACTTGGTTTTCAGATATGGAAAACATACAAGCTTATATAAATGTTGAAATACAAAATTAAGCATCACTGTTGTGAGGAGAATAAAATGCTTAATTTCATGAATTACTGAAATACTTAATTTCATGTATTAAATTCATGTAAATACATGAAATACTTAATTTCATGTAATTTGCTTGTTGTAAAACGTTTATTGTGTAAAAAGGATTATTTATCTTTTCCTTGCTTTGCAGCCTGCCTCTTAGATTCTGGGTAAACATACTGAAAAATCCCCACTTCATCTTTGATGTACATGTTCACGAAGTAGTGGATGCTTCCTTGTCAGTCATTGCACAGACTTTCATGGATGCTTGCACAAGAACAGAGCACAAATTAAGCAGAGTAAGTGATTTGCATTCTACATCCTGACTATGCTCATGCCTGACAAGACAAAGGGCATCCTCATAGACAATACCCATTCTCTGAGGAGATACAGCCTTGATCATTTCTTTTTAGTTCTGTATAAAGTTAGCATTTCACCACTTAACAGGTTGGTGAATATGTCAGTGTTACTGTGTAGTCTGCAAATTGATATTTAGAAAAAGGGGAAAATAGCAACTGCTTTTATAAAAAGCAAGTTTAGGAATTGATTATTTCAGGTCCACTAATAATTTAGCATCATCTTGCATTGATACGTTTATAAAACTCAGCAGTAATGCCATGTGTAAACTTCATCCTTTTATGACAAATAACCTCACCAATGTTAAAAAGTATCCAAATGTTAATATCTATAAAGCTTAAGTGTATGTGAATATAAAGGTTTGGTTTAAGTTCTTGTCTTTCTTTTGCTTCCTAGAAATGTTCATAAATTACCAAGTTTCTCTGTATTATAATTTTTTCAGGATTCTCCAAGTAATAAATTACTTTACGCAAAAGAAATCTCTAACTATAAGAAAATGGTGGAAGAGTAAGTATAGACTGTTTTCATGCTTATTCAGTTGTTAGGATTTTAGGGCTGTGTACGAGGAAAAGGGAATGCTGAGATAGTCAAAGTCAGATGTCAAATATTAAAAATTTTACACCCAAATGTTAAAACGTTCCCTTGGTGGTGGCACTGGCAGGGTTGAAATGGAGCTCCACTATGACCCAGTGCATGTTCTTGTCTGTACAGACATATGAGTAGATTTATTCAGGAGAAAATATGATGCTGTATTCCACAGTGGTAGTTGTTACCCATACAATCTGTCTAAAAACGTTGCACTTCCATAACTCAGTAGACATCAAATCCTGAAAACATTTTCACAAACACATTTCTTCTATTCTGTCTCTGACTTTATTCATTTACTAATTGGCAATTCTGTTAATATCATGGAAGTTCTACCACAGAACAAAACTCCTGCCAGTTTTAAGACCTAAAATAATCATCATCTGCAATTATAGATTTCTTTCTTGTGGTATGTCCTTGTACAATTAGGTATGATTTGCCTCTGCTGCAAAGGTAGTAATGATTATTGGAAGGCAAGATTACTAAAGGAATCATTGGTCTGTTGTGGTAGAGCCTCTCCTACATTACTAGGAAGCATGTTTAAAATATTTGCAAAATTGGAAAACAGAATTACCAGAAAACCACAGTGTGTTTCACCTAATTTAAAGTCTTTTTTCACCTCTTGCAGTTACTACAAAGGTATTCGTCAGATGGTGCCAGTGAGTGACCAAGACATGAATACCCATCTAGCAGAGATTTCTAGGGTAAGAATAAATTCGATTTACTTGTACTGAAATTAAAGCCAAGTGTAGCTCTGTTTCTCGTTGTCTTCTCTTTCTATCTCAACAAGTCGGTGTTTTGTATGTGCAAAAATCAAATGAGTTATTTCATAAATCTCTGAAATACTCCTGTTTGGTGCAGTTATGCCTGTTAGCCATTGGAAATGTTGATTTTTGAATGGAACCAAGAATGGTTTTCATCACTAATCTGTCTGAGTGATGCATGGGCCAGAGCAAAGTGTTTGGATTTTCACATTCATCGTGGGAAAATTATAGCACTCTAGAACTGTGTTTTCTCTCCACAGCATATAGAGGATTTTTAGCATGGATTGTACTAATAACGAATAGTGACTGAATTCACAGCAAAAATTAGATACCAGAAATGAAAGAGGGAGCATTAAATATAGCATATTTTAGGGCTATCTGTACAGGGGCAATACTTCTGCTCTGTGCTACATGTGAGAAGCTCAGCATGTGCTTGCTCAGTGACACTTTTTTTTTTTGCACTATAGGTTATTTGGGTTACCTCTCATGGAGAAGAGCAGAGGGTGGTGGTTGCTCTCTGGGGCTGTACTTGGAAAGTGGTGGAGCAAAGACATTACAAAATCTGTTTCAGTCTTACCTTGAAAGAGCCTGTCTGCTCTGCAGCTCAGCTTAGCTAGAGCAGGCTCTTGCCTTCAAAGCACTCTGTTTAACTTGGAGAACCAGGAGTCCCTCACCAGTTTGAAAGATGTGGTTTAGCCTGAGCAGGGAGACAGTGTACTTACTGACTGGTTTGCTCATTTGCTTAATTTAGTTGAAGAGTTCTAGCGTAAAGAGGATGTTTGGGGAATTTTTTGCAGTTTGTTTATTTCAGTGCCCTTAGGACCTAACATTTTGCAGATCAACATCCTCATGAGAGCATTTCTATTTTCAGTCATTCACTACAAAACTCATCTTCGGTGACATTTCATTTTCCAGTTCACTTTATTTATTACATAAATTGAGATGTATATAAAATTAAAACATTTGGTGATTAAAAATAAATTCAATGTAATGTTTCAACATCGCCAAACATGTTGTTCCTTCCTCTTTTCATTATAAATTATGAGAAAAATTAATATGGAAGGAGTGATTGAACATTGCAAATTTTGACCAGCTCTAAAAGTGACTTTTATAGAGCAAGGAAAGATGGATATTTCTCTGCTGCTTTATCCCTTGGGTAATCATTTATGCCAGTAGCAACATTTTGCAATTCTTCATTTTCTTAACTAACTTAATAGACTAAAGGCATAGCTAGAGACTTGAACCTTACATGTTTGAATGAAGAACATCTGTTTAGACAGGTAGAGCACATTCACTAAATAAGTTAAATGTGTGGGGGGAGATGGAAAGACAAGGTAATGGAAGTGTTATTTCCTGCTTCATTTAAATTCCTTTCTCCCTCTTTCTCTCTCTCTCCAATACCTCACCACCACCACCCCTACCCTTTTCCATCTTCATGATTCAGGTGGCTTTTTCCAAACATACATGCACTCATGATCTTGATGAGTTTATATATACCTTTGCTATAGTGAGGTGTGAATAATTTACAGGATATAAAAACAGCTGGAGAAAGAATTTCAAACAACCATGACTGTGTCAGAAGCAATGCTTAATATCTCAACAATATGTAGACTGTACCGAGTAAATGCTTTAGCTATACATACCCATGCTGCTAACAGATGTTTGAGCTGTAATCTGTGGTTTCACATTCAGAGTTCAAAATATTTTCCACCTCCAATGTTAGAATTGTGGGCCGGCTCGAAAATACCAGCGGGAAAGTCTTAATCAGAAAATCACCAAAAAAATTTTTTCTCATTCCTTTTTTTGGCCCCAAGTGTCATTTAACAAAAGTTACAGGATGCAGAGCTTGCATTTGTAAATCTTGTCAGTCATATCCAACAGTTGTGCATGTGCATAGCTTTCAGCTGTCCGTAATCCTATTTTGACGTTTGCTGCCTGCTTGTGTTGTTTACCAGGCACATACCGATTCCTTAAACACACTTGTGGCTCTGCACCAACTCTACCAGTACACTAACAAATACTATGATGAGGTAAGTTATGGTTTTTGTTTTCCTATTTTAATATCAATGGGAAAATTTTATGAAAGCTAAAATAAGTCTGAACGAGAAACTTCTCAAGTTCCCTGTGTAGTCAGGTAAAAACTGAAAGCTCTAACCTTGCAGTTATATGCCTTGCTTGGCAATTATGCTGGTCAAGGGAATGTCCTTATAAATGAGCAATTTTATTATGGGCTATCTGGTTTTGCTAGGTATAGTTTAATGGATAGTTTAAAAAGGTCTGAAACAGAAATAGATTTAAAAATCATTTTTCTTCAGATCTACCATCCTAATTAGGACGTAAGAATGTTACTGAGCAAAAAGTAGTCATCAGAGTTTATATCAGGTTTCAAACCAGTGTGCTTTTTTATTAAGAATAATCCATAAAACGTGTTTTGCTTGTAGGAATGGGGGCCATGCCCTTTTTATTAGTTAAAATGTCCTTAAAACTTCCATGTATGCTACCAATCCCTGTTTTGCCATGCCAAATGAAGTGCCTGCCTAAGGTAAACCAAAGTAGAGTAAATGTTGAATATAGCCTGGTTCAAAATCAGGCTCTCAGATTCAGTTCAAAAAGTTTCTTAGGTTTTTCACGCCCTGTGGAAAGGGGGACAAAGAATATCCCAGTGTAGCTGGGCTGTGGCTATGGCTCTCCAAACTTAATCTGAAAACAAAAAGAGAGAAGGAAACTTTTATTCAAAGGTTTCCATGGAAATGAATGCCTCCAGAAAGCTCTCAGAATTAAATCAAAGCAAGTAAGAACAGATGCTGAATCAAAAAGGAGTACAGCACATGTGAACTCTATTCAGTTAGTCTTGCACTTCAGCACAGTTCATGTTTTCACTTACATTTAGCACTACAGACAGTGACTCTCCTCCTTCACTGCAGCTGCTTTAGACAGGAGCAGCCAGCCTGCTGCAGCTTTTAAACGGATGTAAGCAGGGAAAATCAAATCACCCTGAGAAGTCTTGCAATGACAGTCAGTGGGGGAAGTGGACAGAGCAATGTGGGCCACCCCAATGGCATTGGTTCCCTGGCCACTCACCACCAGTGCTAACCAAGCTCACTTTCAGTGCTTTCCTGAGTGTGTCTGTAGTCTGACCTCTTATAGAAATACTCAGGGACCCTGGGTGACAGATGAACCATAAATCCCTAATTCATCCACTCTTCTGTGTCCCTGCTTCCACTCGTAGTTTCACTTTGGTGGCAGGCACAGGTGGAGTCGCCAGTCTGGGGGACTCCATCATTTGCAGGCTAGCACAACCCAGTGTGTAGCTGCAGCTCTTCCCTTCCATGTACACCACTGTGTAACAACAAGGTGCATTTGATGAAAAGGCTGCTAATTCAGAGTTATGGAGATAATCTGTCAAGAACCATTCAGTAAAATTAATTGAGCTTATTTATTTTCCATGAAAATGTTTTAATTTGCATAAATTGGAACATTTTGCAGCTGCCCTTGTCTTATTACTGACGCAGTGGTTCCCAGCATGTGCTGTACCTTCTGCATCTCTGCAGGGCTTGACAATGACTAAGTGGGTACATTCTAATTGTCCACATTTTTATGAAGGATATATTCACCAGCAGAGATAATCGTGAATTATTTAGTCTAGATTTGAGGAGTTACAGCTAGATGCAATTGTTTAAATTAAGGGAACAATATGAAATTAAATTAGGCCTAGTTTAAATACTGCAATAAGTCTTTATTAACTCTGTCTTGTAAAAATATTTTCACACTTTAAAAACAAATCCATTAAAATAATTATTTCTAAACAAATTTGCTCCCGTGTTTGAAGTGCAAATGCTATACCAGCCCTTCAAAGTGAAATTATTGGCTAGATTGATACTGACTGCATTAATCTCCGTTGTCAGTGATGTTCAAGAAGTAATAAGAACCACAGGTGACAGGCAAACTGTACTTCTCCAGTCCATGTACTTGCAAATTTATATAGTATTTAAATAGTGCTAAAGATTTCTGCTTGATTACACCATCTGACTTACGTTAATAAAGCCAGTTCTAGAAAAGGAATGGTTTTGTCATGTAACATATTCTTCTAGTGGAGAAATCTAATAGTTGGTGGGAAAGTTTTCCTAAAGGATGGTGAAAATTAAAACCTTTCGAAACCTTTTGAATTTGGTCTTGGGAAGCCCTAAAAAACTCTGTTTGAAGAAAAGCCTTCTCATAACAGCTGACCTTTACTAGCTTTTGTTTTCAAATCCCTTGTGTCTTAAGAGTCATATTCTCTTATATATATTCTGTACAGCAGAGACTGTAGGAGCTGAGGGCTCCTCAGATGAGCTCTTTGCTTTCCTGAACTACATGGTGCTGGGTCAGAGCCTCAGCATTTCTTGGTGAGAGCCAAAGGCGAGCTGCCAACAGCTGCCTGATGCTCTGATCAGGCAGTTTTATTCCTCATATTGCCGACAGACACAAGAGGCCTTGCGTTGCCCTGCCGTAGGCCTGTGTGTGGACCACCCAGAAGCTTCTCATAACTAAAGCTCATGGGGACGGGGTTTAATTACTGCTGGTAAATGACCCTTAAGCCTTGTAGGGTGCACTGTAAGTAAAAGCACTGTTTCTTAAATAGCTCTAAGGAAATTTTTCACCCTGCTTGCTCCATCTTTGAATGTAATATTTCACAAGATAAAGTACTACCTATTAATTTGGTTGTATCACAACATACTGGAAAACATTACAACAACTTAGATAAAGTAACAGAGACAATCATTTTTACTGCCTTTGTTTAAATTTGAAGACAGGGCCTACTAGATGGACTTTGGTACAGAGTGAATGCAAAAGACTCCTTACAACCAAAATAGTATCAAACACTTAGTCTGGGAACCATGTCATATATTTTCAGCTGAATTATTCTAAACATTCTATGTTTATATCTTCCAGATTATAAATGCACTTGAAGAGGATCCAGCTGCACAAAAAATGCAGCTTGCCTTCCGTTTACAGCAAATAGCAGCTGCGTTAGAGAATAAAGTGACTGACCTTTGACTCAAAAGCCGCAATAAAGAAATCTGATCTGAAGATGTTCAAATTCATTCTTCCTGTTAAGGAAATAGTGTTCTATTTTTTAATGTATAATTACAACTTTAAATGAAAAATTTCCTGGTTTTTTGATAGCAGAGGTGTAATGTAAAGAATTTTTACTGTAAATTATGCTTCTAATTAAAAGCTGTGTTGTGTGTAAATGAATCTTCTGTGGGAAAGAGAGTCCTTTGGCTGGGGGCAGGGTGGGGGGTGGAAGAAGGAAAACCTATAGTTCATTTGATTTAGTAGAATCTGAGACATCAGCATTTAGGATTCATTATGCAAGTAAATTCAATACTATAGCATCCTTTCTACCTTAAGCAATATTTGTACTAGGAAAACAATAATATACTCAGAGACACATGCAATATCCCCTTTTATTTTGATAACTGGAAACTGACTTCCATAGAACTCTAAAACTTAGGCTGTGCGCATAACAAACATCATGAACAACTTGTCTGATTTCTCTGCAAGATCTAAAAATGGGATTTGCTACCACACGGTTCTAAATTTAATTATTTATGTCCATGGTGATGCACAGTATTGCACCCACCACAGTTGGTTGTGACAGAAATAAGAGTAACGTCAGTGTAGGAGGGTTCTACTGATGAAGTCTCATTTGATTCAGAAATCACTGCAAAGAAGGAATTAGTCCTTAAAACTTAAAAACTCTTTGTTATTATTGTGAGTTTTATGATATATGCTAATGTGCCTTACTTGTACTAATTCTGTGAAACTGATGAATGGTTTTGTAAAAAGAAGCAGATCAGAAAAAGAAGTATTTATGTGCTATTGAATGACTTTTGTGTGAAAAACATGACCAGCAGAATGCTTGTAATTAGCTGCTTGCCGAGAGTGTGCTGTTTAACATGATTTGATTATGTATAATATCCTATTTTAGAATGGTTCTGACGATTTTTTATTTGAATCCTGGAACTGTCCTAGAAATACCATCACTTGTTTTTATTGTATCTGTGATGTAAAATACTAGTATGATATTGGAAAAATCATATACCCATCTATTGAAAACCACTCGGTCAGTTTCGAGCCTTGGAATGCTGCATTTGATTGAATACACACTATAACCCACAGCCAAGAAAATTGAAATAACTTGTCAGAAAGTGTGTGTTTACAATATAGGTAAGCTTCGTACAAATCAAAAAGTTAGGTACGTCTTCTTAAATTGCTGTATTGCACATCAGAGAACTTTATTTCTCTTGGTCTCGCAAGTTTTTGGCAGTAAAGTAGCATTTTAATGAAGTGCTGCCATCTGTACTCCTTCGTTCATTGTCCTGCCAAGCACCCAGACTCTGCTAACTCTCAGCAAGCTAATGCAGTGTCTGCTGCCCGCTCTCCCTGCCTGGTAGGTTGTCACACACTGACTTTTACTGTCTGTTGATATTTTATTTTTTTTTCTCCCATTTTGAAAATTTCCTAATATTTGTCAGTGGGCCTTGCCTTCAGTTTCTGAAAATCAAAAGCCTCACCAGAACTGGTTTCCTGCCCAGAAGGCTGGAAGCATTTGTTCGTTTGTTTTGTACTCGACTTCTTGCATCTGTCTATAATCATTCCTGAACCTGCCTGGGCTGTAAGTTATTTTACACTGTTTAGGACTGAGGTACATGGTTTCTACAGAAAGATGCTTTGCCAGCTACTCTTTCATCAACAAAAGCATCCTAATTTCATGGCTAATCTGTTTCTTTGTCATTATTTGTAAATCCTGTTAATTGTAAATCAAATACAATGTTGTTTTTTCCACCAAGTGTCACTGCATCTTTACTGAAATTGGGGGGATGGGTTTTGAAAGGGGTTTGTAATGCTTCCTCCGAGGGTGATGGAGCAGCAGCGTCCATCCGTCTGTGGTTGGTAATGGAGGAGCACAGCACTTGCTGCAGATGGTGTGCCTGACATCATGCCCTTTTTATCGGCATTTGCTGTGAAAAATGAGAGTACTCAGGAGAAGCAAGGCTGTAGTGCAACATCCCGTAGTGAGGTCTTCTTGCCTGATGAAAATCCATCTTGGGACCTGAAAGCCAATTAAAATACAGGCTCAGCAGCATCTCTCCAGAGAGATCAGAAAGCCCTGCTTGACCAAGTAGAGCTTTCAGAGAGAACATTATGTGTCCCCCACCACTGGTGACTTGACGCAGAGCAGCTGCAGGCAGTTATAAGCTGCTGTGGGCTACAGCAGTGCTGTGGCTGGATCTTTCTTACCTGTTAGACAAGCATGTGTGTCTGTTGGTATGTCAGAGTTCATGATGGATCCATTAGTCGCTCTTGGTGCCCTTTTCTCATATCTTGGGAAATTTGGAGGCTATCAGTGCTGCAGTGTTGTCTTCCAGGGAACATAGAGGCAGATAAGTGTGAGCAGCTGCAGTTACAAAGGAGATTTAATGCCAGTCCTTCAGTTTCTCCCCACTCTCCTCTCCTGAAAGCACAAAGTTGGAATATGAGTTGACAAACTGAGATGGTTTATTTTATTATTTCCCGTTTTTGCTAAGCTCCTCCAGTGCTTGTTTCTCCATTCTGGTGCTCTGTTTTGCTCAGGCCTTGTTTTTGGCTCCAGTTTTCCTTACATTTTAGCAATCTGATTCTTAAAGCCTTCATGCTCCTTTGGTTTCTGCTGCTCCTGCCACCTTGTTCATCTGCAAGATAAAGGAAAATGCTCACTGGGGGTCTCCCTCCTTTTCATCCCTACTGCAACCCCTCTAAAGGGCACTTCTTGAAGTACAAGAACCTTCTCTCTGCATAATAGGAGCCACTCTACTCCATAGTGGCAGCTGTGAACAAGGCTCCCTTGCTTGGACATCTTGCAGATATAGTTCAGAGATTGATACAGGTGTTCAACCACCACCAGCATGTCTGAATCCCATTGCTGACAGTAGCCTCTCCAAAGGGTTTTCTTGCCTCCTCACCAGCAAACAAGCAAGTACAGATCTCAGACGATGGGACAAGGTCCCTGTCCCTGCTTGCTTAATGTGAAGTAACTCACCCATCTGAACAGGAATGTGGGGGGTTTACTCTCTATTCCTGAGTTCCAAATTTGCCTCTGACACCTTACTAGATCTTTGTGCTGCTCTCTCTATGTTATATATTTACAAGCAAGTTGATTATGGGTGGAGGGGACCTGGCCTAGCTCACATATGTGAGGCATACACATACTGCCTCCTCAAGATGGTTTCTCTAATCCATCTTTACAGCCATACTTGAGCCTCCCTCTTCTGCAGGCTGCGGTGGTTGACACGTGTTTCTCAGCCTGCTGAGTCCGAGCTGTGTTTACATGCACTCTTAAAGCTGGCCTTTCGGGTAACCTTCTGAAAACAAACCGAGCCATCACTATAAACAAAAACATACAGGGAATTCTGAAACTCAAACTGGAATTCACAAATTCACAAACTGTTGTAACACAGGAGGATTTTTAGCCAGCTGTGTAAAGACTTAAAATTACTCTAAGCTTGAAATTTAGCTGTCCTGGACTTACCATCACTGATGAGATTTTGTGGCCAGTCCTTTACTATTCCAGGTTCTCAAGCATTATTAGTAAAACCACCATTTTCAATCATAGTAGGCCCTGAAGATATGTACCAACATGGCCCAAAAAAAGTAAATCTCTGAATCTGATAGGGAAACCCCTCTTTCACACGCTTCCTAGGGCTACAACAACTCTATTTATCCTGATAAGGTTGTAGTCAGGTTTCCCATTTGCTCCTAAGCATGTAATGTTAAGTTCTCTGAGGACTTCCTCTCTAGAGAATTTGATCTTGGGAAAAGATTGCCTTCTCTTAAGACTTCTTCCACGTCTGTGGTCTTCTCTAATAAAAAGCTTATGGGGGAAGTTGAAGTTGTTTGGTTTGTTTTTTTTATTTCTATCTCTATCAAGAGATATCCTGTCAGAGCAATGAGACAGTCAACTTCAGAAGTTTAAAGGAGGATGTCTGGCTGCCATTTTTCTACCAACCACTGACCTTGAGTGCTGTACTATTCTGCTTTACACTTAGAGGGGTTGAAATTTGCACTTTGAGTCACTAGAGTTGTTGCACTGGAATGTAAGCACTGTTGTCCTCGTGACTTGCTTTTATCCCTCTTTCCAAGCTCGATGCAGTCAAGCTCAGCGCCTGAAGCTTTCCAGGTTCTCCATCACACAAGCTCGTCTCTTAGTGGTCTGTTTTGCCAGATCTGCCTGGAGAACAGGATTCCCTGGAGAATGAATGACAGCAGCACATGAGCTAAAATGATCAGCAATTTTGTTTTCTCAGACTCTGTGCTTACCTAGTCTGTCTTTCTGTTTTTTTTTTTTAGTATAAGAATCCATCCTTCAGTTGATGAATGATGAATTTGAAAGATAAAATTGTAAACTAGAGTTGGTCTTTTAGCCTCCCTCTTTTGTTAGCCTTTCTCTGGATGGGGCCCAAAACTGATGGTGGAATTCTTGGTGTTTGACAGCTTCTGCAGAACAGAAGGAAAACAGACTTTCCAGACCCACAGTTAAGAGGAAATTTTCAAAGGTTTTGTTTTCTTGAAATCAAGTCCCCTTTTACCTCAGTAGCAAGGAGCATTTCTCCATCCATTAGAGAAGAAAGTGGCTTCTCCTGTGCAGGCTTATAATAGCCATCTATGCCATGTAAGATCACTGCTGCTGTACCAGACATTCAGGGCTGACTTTCGTCTTGCCAGTGGATACCGCTTGCTGCTGCGTGTCATTACCAAAGAGGACAAATCCTACCATCATTTATAGCCAGGCAATCAAAAGCTATTTCATTTACTCATGTATTCCTGTTTCTTTGCTGCTTCTCAGATAATTGCCATTTGAACCAGAAGCGAATTTGAGTGCTTTCCTTCTTTTTTAAGCTTTTAAAGCACCTAGGTGTCTTAACAGATTGGATGCTTCAGAAAGAAACTATTTCTTCACTGGATCAGAGAACAATAGTTCTCCTACAGCTGTATATGGCTCATCTTAAAAGGAAATAAAAATCCCACCATGAACCCCACACTGTGTTTTTGAAATCCTTTATTCAGTGCTCTAATTCTGAACAATGTTTTTGGCTTATTTAATTGTCCTCAAAATTGAATGTTGAACAAAAATCACTTTTTTTTCCTTTTAATCTACTGTAATAAGAAAGGAGTGAAATGAAAAAATGTATTCCTTTGATACACTTAATCTTTCCTCTCCTGTGGCTATGCTCCTATTCAGTAAGAGATCATACTTGGTAGTTGCAGAGCCTGGACACCAATCCATGTGATATAAAACAAACCCAAATCTGTGTTTCCTGCAGCTACATCTGGGTCCATGGAAATGCTCACAATTGTAAAACTGCCTCCAGGACATTATTTGAAATTTCATTATCATGGGTCTGGCTGGTTCCATCGTCTTCCTTCATGTGATCCTTCTTCGTGTGGGTTTTCACCTTGTGTATCAGTGGCACTTTCTGAACCACAATGCTACATTCCTCTGAAAGCCCAAGGAAGGAAACAATCTCTGTCTGGATTAGTCGTGCACTTTTCATCCCCAAAGCACCCTGTGGGCACTCTGGCCCTCCCAGGCTTAGCTCACTGGAAAATGATAGAAGTGGATTTTTTGTGCTAGAGCAGACAGCCCTACTGAAACATAAAACATTTCCATCTGTCTAAACTAAGCCACATTTGTTTTGTTAATAAACACCCACTGGTAATGTACATTAGTATTCATATCTGATGTACATACATTCATATTTGATGTACAAAGGGCCCTTCTTAGTTGATCTGAACTCCACCTAAAGTCTTCAGCACTCTACCCTGGACTGGTGGCTGCACTACGCTAGCCATAAATCAGAAAGCAATACAGATGTTAACATCATTTAGCCTTTAGATGAGGCCCAATATCCACAGCTCTCTTGCTTGGTGTGGGTGTTTTGCCTCACTGCATCTTTTAATGGACTAAAGTTTGTCTTGTGATGCTGCTGTATGGTTATGATATCCAGAAGTCCCATAATGAGACCTTAAAGTCCAGCAAAGGGAACAGAAAGACCACCATCACTTTCAGCAGTGGCAGGTCCAGCATCCTTCATTCTACTCAGCTGTCGATATATATTCCATCCTTTATTTTAACATGGTGTTATTTTGTGCACTTGAAGCAGTGGCAATCCTCCATTTGTATTCTGTCACATTACGGCTAGAGATGAGATCATTCGTCTAGGTTTTGTGCTATTTTGGAGCTATAGGTTTGGTATTTAATAAGGTCATACCTTGGTGTGCTTACTCCTCTTACAACAATATTCGATAGACAGCTGTGTCAAGTTATGGTTTTGCTCGCTGTGTGTGAAGATTCATATGCTGATTGCCTTGACCTGCCTATCTATAATAAGAGCCTGTAACTGCCCAAGTACTGTTAGAGCTTTTGATTTAAGTTACGGTTGTGATTTTATCTTTCTTTTCAGTGAAAGGAAGATTAGAAATGTTTTGTTTGCCATTTAACTGGAAAATGTTAATGGTTTAGCTGCATCTATGAAAGAAAACAGAGGAAAAGGGGAGGTGACATCCTTTCCCTGTGAGGTGGTTTTGGAGTATTCTTTTCTGAAGTTAACCAAGACAGTGATGACAAAGAACACTTCAGCACTGCTGTCACTGACAGACATAAGTTTCTTTGTGGTTAATCATTCATACGAATTAGCAGGGCAAGTTTTTTAATGCAGAGCATATACAATGTATCTAAGATTAGATTCTGGCTTTAAATATTTAGAGTCTGAATCACATCTATTTGTACTTCATTCCAAGGTTGAAGT